TTTGAACAGAGGTCCCCCTGAGTGCCATATATCCTCCAGCGACTCCAGATCCCAGAACCTTTGTAGATCATGACACTTTCCTCATCGTAGTTGCCCCAGTTTAAGTGCAGGTCCTGGTCTTTTAGGCCAAAGAGGGTATCGTTCTTACACTGCCAATGCTGGAGGTCATTGCTCTCATCACATTCCACGAGCTGCACCTTTACCCAGTCTTTTATCGCTGTAGTACCCAAACACAGCTTGAGGGACAAACTGAGGAGACAAGACTCAGAGACCCATCGGAACTGTTGATCTTTGGCATGAGGATTACAAGCATCCACTGTTATAAAGGTGGCATTCTCCACCTTTACGCACTTGTTGTGATCTTCATTGAAAATAAGGAAGCTACTCGTGTCTGGAACAGAGCAAAAAGAAAATTCAGCAACACATTCCCATGGGATGTTTTTCTAATGAAGCCACAAGTGTATTAACCAACAAAAATGTTTCTGTGTTACATACCTATATCAGCGGTGATGCAGAGGACTTGAAGGACACAGAGGACCACAGCAAAATTTAAACAGGGCAACATTATCCTTGTGTAGTTTGCAGTTACTGTTGGACGAGGCTGTAGCAGAGATTTCCCGTCATGAGCAAAGGGGTCTGGTGTATGCAAAGGTGTGTGACATGGAGCAACAGTGATCCAGAGACTCAGTGCCTTCTGTTGCGAACCAGTTGTCGCCCCCCGATTGTTGGATTGTGACCTGGTAGAATAACACACGACTTGAGACAGACTTTCAGTTCAACAACTTCTTTATTCACTATGTGCATGGGGAATGTGCACAGCGCAAAAGCCTTCTGCAGATCCGAAGGGAAGTCTATCTGCATTTAAATAAACACATTATATTTATACTCTTTCAAAGTTCCTCATCAGCGCCTACTTCTCCTGTTATTTAGTACTCTGTGTACCCTTCATACACAGTTTTGATCAAAACTCCTCCTTCCTTTAACATTCTTATTTTCCTTTTTTGGTCTTACATATCAATTCATCTCTCCTTTTATGGTTCTACACCCGAACTGGGGCAAGTGCTTAGCACATGCCCTCATGTGTAGGTCACCCACGTGACCTACACATGAGTTCTTTAAGCGCATCAAGCTCTCTACCTAGTTCTGCTTTTTGTCTATATTTATCAAGATGTATTACACAGCAGTTTGTGCTGCCTTTCTGCACCATTTCTTGCTGATAGGTTTGTAGCATAAACCTATTCGCTGGAACGTTAAGGACAACTTGCTACACAGCAAAAAGCAAGACACAAGGCACCAAAGTTCTTCGTGTTACTCATGCATGAGGGAGACCTGCCTGGAGCCAAGTGTCGTTCCACCACTTGACCTCCGTCAGACTCTCAGCCAGGTTCCCCATAGCACTCCTTTTATTGTGGTTACATGAATATGCATAGGGTCATTAACATATAACATCTTACATAGGTATACATGTGAACAAAGAATACTGTGTGTGTGTGTGGGGTCAGAGTGTGACCCCATAAACGACTTCCCTTAACCTGCTGGTCTGGAAAATCCAACAGTTCATCTAAACAAAAAGCACTTAGACTAGAACAGACGTAGCTACGTTAATCCTACCGTAAAACAATAAAACAAGGTACGACCTCTTCCCATGCTCCCAGGATGTAGGTGTGCATTCTAGTGTGGAATACACACCAAGCCTTTGCAGCCTGCTAAAGATCACACATCCTATCACTACACAATTGATTATACACCTCTAAGCATATATGGTTAAATATTTCCTAATACAAATGACAATAATAAAATCTAAACCCATCACTTGCAATGTTGTTTCTACAGTTTCCACAATTCCCCTTCTGTCATTGTATAGAAGCCATCCATCATCTGTGGTGTTGTATTCTGCAAAGAGAACAAAAACAGTCATTGGGAGTTCAGTCATGCAGGCAGCTTTGTGATTCTGTAGTATGTGAAGCCAACATGCTTAAATCAGCATTCTTGCAATGACAAGCTAATCTTTAGCATGTTGGCACATTTAGTTTTACATGAACAGTGGATTCTGATTGGAAAATATAAGAGGACTTATGAAAAGAGAAAAGCCAGAGATGTTGGAGAATCCTTAGGGTTTAGCCTCAAAGAACCATAAATGAATTTATGAGGTATAAATTCACATTTTAGACCAGTCAATGAAATAGCAGATGGCATCGTTGAGTCTAGACAGAAGTGGTGAATCAACACTGTATTTCTCAGTGAAATAAAAAGATCTGTTGAAACAACTAGACTTTTCTCTTGAGCAATGATTAAACCTACCTTGTACAGATAACACAGGCTCAGGGGCAGTGTTGGGCAAGTTACTTTGAAAAAGTAATTAATTATAGTTACTAGTTACTTCTTCAAAAAAGTAACTGAGTTAGTAACTGAGTTACAATATTCTAAAAGTAATTAATTACTTGAAAAGTAACCCTCTGGGATCCAGGGTATTATTGGCTATTTTTAACTACTTTTCATTTTGACATACTGCATTAACACAATTGATCTAAAGTCAGACAAAAAACATAAAATCAGAGTAGAAAAAGTTTACTGTAACAACCACAAACATGTTTACTGAATTATATTTCATAAATTTAAATGCAAATAAATAAATAAATA